TAATAATTATATTCTATATTTTCTAGTTATAGTTTATATACTTATTTTATTATGTGTTTTGAATATAACTAATATAATAATGTCATTCTAAAAGAAAATTTATAGATATATTTATATCTGTATCACTTTGTTTAAAATCATCTCAAATTTTATTTTTTGATTAAACGGAGTTATATGATATAATTTTAATGTTTTCTATTATTTACATCAATGGCTTTATTCAAATATATATATAATTGTATTAAAGTGCTTATAATATTAAATTTTTATTATTTTTTTCTATTATAAGTAACTATTTTATATTTATACCAATGATAAACACACTCACATACCATAAAAACTTATTTATAGTTTACTTAACATTCAAAGGGTTACAAAAATAAGTGCACATTCAACAAGTCATTCATTTATTCATTCAAGAAAAAAATTAAAACATCTTATATGATAATCTCTGAAATTAAAATACAATTGTAATAATAATATTATTTTTATATCATATATAAAATAAAAACTAGAAGAGTCTCTAAAAATAATTTTTGCTTTGATTTATGAAATAACTTTTGTATAAATATAACAATTTTTATTTTTTAAAACTATTTGCTGCAATATTATATATAAGTTCTATACTATATTATAAAATAAATACAGTACTCAACAATATAATAATAAATAATATTTTGAAAACATGAATTTATATTTAAATAAAATTTATATTAAATTTACTAAAAAATATTTATTTTTTATTGTTTTTTGTGGAAATTAATGAAAAATTCATGATTATATATAATATAATAAAAAATTAGATTATATTTATAATTTTATATGTCTATATTAAGAATTTCAAATATTTTATGCTATGTAATTATAATTATAAATTGTTAATTATAGTTTATAGTTGATAATTACAGTATTTAGTACTAAAAGATATTAAATAAAAATGATTTGTCATAAAGTGATCTTTTGTTTATACAGTTATTTACAGCAATAGACAGTATATTTAGATTAATTTTGTATTAATTAATATATTAAATCTAATATTTTTATAAATATTAAATATAACACTTTATTATTATCTAAGCTAATTTGAAATTAAATAAGTAGCTCATTATAAAATATCATTAAAAATATATAACAAAATAGTTATAAATTATATAAATATCAACTATAATAATAAAATATTATACTTAAATAATGTAATAAAAAATTTCTTTATCTTTTTTCTATAATCTTATTCTTTATCTATAATATTTTTTAACAATGAATTGTTATTTTATGTTTTAAATATTTAAATGTTAATATTACATATTTTATGTAGTAAACAATATGATTAATTTATGTTTAAAAAACTATATAAATAGCTAAAAATATCTATTATTTATTATAAAATAAATTAGAAAATGATTATAAAGGAAGCATTTAATTTACTACAAAGGCTTTTAAAAATAAAAATGTTTTATATTGTTATTAGAGTTCGCTAAATAGATTTTTTTAAAATACGATAAAATTTGTAGAAACTTTCTAAAAGATAAAATAAGTTTTTAAAACTCTTTAATATTTATAATTCACGTAAGTTTACTAAAAAAAATTATTGTCTTTTATTAAATGTTATAAATTTTATTGAATTTGATCAACACATTTATGAGTACATAAAATTATTTATTACAATATATTTTATATATATTTTTCCTAAAAATATATTTAGCATTTTTATTAACTTCATTAGCTATATTTAAAAATAATTTGACACAAATTACTTGATTGTTAAATTAATATGTTATCTAATAAAAAATGATTTATTGCTATTATTTTTTATATAAGTATATTGAAATGTTTGTGTCTGTGATAATATATATTATTATTAATAATAATTTTATTACTATTATTATTTTATATTTTTAAAAACTATTGATTGTTTATTTCTAATAATTGTTTAATTTGGTTAAACAAACACCTATTAGTGACAAATATAATAATTTTTATGATTAGTGATGCCATTCATTATGAAAAATCGTTTAACATATATGACTAATAATCAAACAAATTGTTGGGTTTTAAATCTTATTATCTGTTTATATCATATTATTTAGTTTTAAAATAGAGTTTTTATTCATAACAATTTATTTTATTTTTTATAAAAATTTATTTCCTATTTGAATATAATTTTAAATAATTATTACTATTTTTATAAAATAAATACATACAGTTTTATTAATAAATATGAATACAATGCAAATATAATGTAGTATTTTATTGTTAACAACAAATTTTTATCACAATTATATTTATGTTTTTAATCTTAATTTATTTAATTTTACTCATTTTCTAAATAAAGTTACAAATGAAAGTTAATTAATTAATTGTGAGATTTTAATTTATTTTAAATAATTTACTCAATAGTTTGGTTATAATTCTAATTTAATTTTAATTAATTGACTATTCAGTTGTTAAAAACTGAATTTCATTGTTTAAAATGTTAAATATATTTTAACAAAAAAATTGTTTTTTGTCAAAATTAATTGAGTAAATTAAAGTGATTTTAGTTGCGGGAAAAGTTTTATTTATTATTTGTTGTTCACATAACAAATTATTAAATTATCTTTTATGTTTATTATTTAAATTTAAAATAAATCATTTGCTTATACAAACAAATTTTATGACAATCACATGTTCACAAGTTTGAAAAGTTAATATTATTTTTCAATTTATGTTTCAATAGTAAAAATATAGATAATTATATACTTTAGCATATATATATATATACAGTATATATAATGGCTTATATTAAAATATAATACTGTAAATGAGTTTACATTTGAAATCAACCGCAAATCCTATTTTAAATTAAAAGTGAAAGTTTTTTGATAGAAATCTTGAAATAAAAACAATTGTGAATGAAATCAATGCTTGAATAATGAAAATAATAAACAGTCTTAAGAGACAAAGATAAATACAATACATATATTGTTTTTTAGATTTCATTTTTTATATTTTTGGTGAGTCTCTTATTAAATGAATAAAATAAAAATTTATTACTTAAATACAGGTATAATATATATATATGAAATTATATTGAAATATATATGAAATATTGGAAAGGATGTCCTTTTCAATTACTTGTAATGATAATAATGTTTTAATTAAATTAATGTTTAAAATATAAATGAAATTTTACTCTTTGTGAGATTATACTTGAATTTATTGTTTTAGATAATAATAATTGTTGAATACATACTGTATATACAACAATAGGGATCAATACACTTATATAGAAAAGTATCTAATAAAAATATAATTACATTTTTTGAATGATATAATAAATAAATAATAAATTTAATATTAAAATCGTTGATATTTATTTTCTTAATATTAATGGGTATGACAACAATATGATAGTTATTTAATAAAACATATAACATATACAGTATATATACTTTATATAACCAAAAATAAAATACATTTATTACTGTATTTATACTTGTATTTCATATATACTATTCTTTAAATTTCATCCCCTTTAATGGATTTTTAATATTTAAACTTTTTATTACAATATATAATATATAGTTATTACAGTAAATACTATGTATACGGTATTATGCTTTTTATTCTTACAATTTTATTATATTTTTTATAAGTTATTGTATTGTTAAAGTAATATTTAAAGTACCTGAAAATATAATTTGGCCCATACTTATAAAATATTAAAAATTAATATATAGCTAATAATCACAATAGATATAAATAAAATGTAATACATAATAATATTAATGATTATAATAATTATAAAGAATCGGAAACTTTTTTTAAATAACTTCATATAACTATTGTTTACTAATTTCCGTCATTTTAATAGCGATTTATATGAAACAATAAAAAAAATTAAAGACGAAATCATATCAAATCAATGAAATAAATGTCTTATAATTTATATAAATATTTATTTTTAACTTTTCACTTGATTTGTGTTTAATTTATTTTAATCTAAAAAATAATGATTTTGTTTGCCATTAGACAAGGTATTTAATTTTATTTGAATTGTTATATATTAATATTGTATTTTATATTATAATAAATAGTGTATTAAAAAAATAAAATCTTAGCAAACAATATGAAATTCAATTACAATCTCAATGCGTTTATAATTAGGAGAGAGAGTTTAGAGACTATTGTAATATTGTAATACTATATTTATCTATTTTTAGATAAAAAAATAAAATGTTAACTAAAAAAGTCCTATATATAAATTATATATAATATAATGATATTTATTTTAACTAAACTATAAGCCAAATCCCAGGACTACTCTACAAAATAGTTAGTAATCTCTATGATTATTATATAAGTATTGTTATATTAAATAAGATTTCCATAACAAATGCTTTTGACAAATACCACAACTAAATAAATAACATAAACATCATTAAAAAGAGTTATGAATTGAATTAAATTAAGCAAAAACAATCTGTTTTTGCAGATATGGGTTAATGGCATTGCATTCACCTTTATATATATATATCGCTAAAATCTTGTCGCAGTTTATTATAGTTATACACAAAATTAAATATTATTAAAAATAAGATTAATTAGTTATATATGTTTAATATGAATATTGTAGAGTATGTGTCGATACAAATTAGTATATCTGTAAAATAATAGTTATAAATATTGATTATAAATAAAATTCATTTGTTGATTGTAATCATAAGTTTATAGTTTTTGTTTTCATCAATAGACTGATACATGAATGGGAAATAAAAATAATAAGACATTCACTTTTTTAATAGTTTTATTAATTATCTAAATAGAAATGCAATAATCAAATAATAACAATAATAGTAATAATGATATTTTCTATGAATAAATGAATAAATTAAAATAATTTTGCTAATGAAGATATTAATATTTATGTATTTTATTTAAGTGCTTATCTAATAAAATCTATAATTCTCATAAATAAAGTTATATATAGAAAATTATAATAATTTACTTAATATTTTTAGGTCATTCCCGCAAATTGTTTATGTCTGTGATGTATGTAATTAGTGGTACATTCAAGTCTTTCACCAAATGATTAGATGTAAAACCTCTGTTTGAGAGGCAATTATCATCAAATGATTCATTACTTAGTGCCCACACGTGCCTACAAAAGGCTTATCTATTTTGTATTTATTTGGACGTGTGTCTGCTTTTTGGTGTTCCGATTGGCCACTCGACCTAACGATGCATCACTGGACTATATGGACGGACACGCGGCACAGGTCAGGGGTCTTCTCCAGAAACTGCCGCTCGATTACGCGTCAGGTTTTCTGGTGACACTGACGACAGCCAAAACAACGACAGCGGCCATCAAATCTGACATCAGTGCCAAAGATATACTGAATGTTGAGCCACAAGTAGACAACTCACCGCCACTTAATGAAAATGAAATCTTAACTTCATTGGCCAATGACTCCAATTTGCCGCTCACTTATTGGGCAAAAATTAAGAAAAATCAAAACTTAATGACCAAACAAGTGCTAAACAACGGTTCTAACCGGTCGTGTAAAGTGGAGTTCCCAAACCTCTATGAACTCGACTATAATAATATTTATTGGCAACGAATGTCTGCAACAAACGCCACTTTCTATTTATACGGCGCTTACTTTGATGACCGCTGGCGGGGCGGACCACTCGCCACAGTTAGGATATTAGCAATGGTTGATAGAGTTAGTCCACCGCCGACCACATGTCAGTTGTGGTTCGACAAAATACCGGTGCCAATCATATCACCCGCCACTTATGTCTATGGCTGGTATAGCAAATGGGGTAACTATAAGGACGGTCTGCTACAGCCGTACATCATTACCTGTAAAGTCCCCCGAATTAAGGGGTTTCCCAAAGAGTTGGCACCCGATTCTGTGTCATTAGTAGAGGACAAGTGCAGTAAAGCGACAAACAATTTAAAAGTTTTTAACAATAGACCGAAAACCAAACAAGACTTTGCCGTTTGTGTCAAAGGATTAGACTTTTTACACGAAGATCTTAGCGTTAGATTAGTTGAATGGATTGAATTATTGCAGATATTGGGCGCTAAAAAAGTGTTTCTTTATAATCTTGAAACGCATCCAAACATCAGCAAAGTATTGGAATACTATAAGCAAAAAAATGTGGTCGACTTAACCCCAATCACACTCCCCGGCAATCAACCAAATTTACCGGGTTTTAGACACTTGTATTTGAAAAACAAATTAACACACAAACGCCAGAACGAGTTAATCCCATACAATGATTGCTTGTATCGCAATCTTTACAGTTATGATTATCTGGCGCTGTTGGACATCGATGAGATAATTATGCCCATCACTCATAACAACTGGTCTTCATTGATGAATGAAGTCCAGAAGCTATCGTTGGCAGAAAAAAATTACACACGTGCCAGTTATAACCTGAGGAATGTTTACTTTCTGGACGATCTGGGAGTCGGTGAGGAACAACTGAAGCACACGGAGCATGAGGTGGGCATTCCTCGCTATCTACATATGTTGCAACACGTGTACAGATCTCGCAACTACACGAAACCGGGACAGTATGTCAAGTGCTTCCATAATACGGAGCGTGTGGTATCACTTCATAACCATTTCCCACTTAACTGTTTCGGCTCGTGTACCACATACTCAATTAGTCCAGAGTCGGCACATCTACAGCACTACCGCAAGGACTGTGTCGGTCCACTCAAAAACAGCTGTAAAGACTTTCGTGCCTACACTACACGCGACACAACTATTTTCAAGTATAAGGAGGAACTCATCAATAGGACAACCAGTGTTTTAAATCAATTGGGATTTTTCCAAAACAAATAGTGAAATAAACTATTTTTAAAAATACTATTATTTGTGATTACTTATTTGTTAGTGAAATATATTAATAAATCGGACACTTAATGATGAGCTATTATATAACCATTTTAAACACTTGATCCCAAATATATATAATCTTTTAGTTATTATATTTAATTCAAGATTGGCTCAAATAATTCTAATTTAAACTTATATTACAATTAATATAAAAAATGATTTAATTTATGTTTTTCTATGAATACTATTTATGTGAACAAAATTTTATTTTTTCACTATTTATCGTCACTTAATTTAAAATATAATATGAAAATCATGTTTGAAAATACATATCAAACTGTTATCGAAAAACAAGATTTATCACGAATTTGCAAATGATTATTATATTCATTCCCTGTAATTGCTGATCATTTTATATCATTACCGAAAAAAATTATTGTTTTAAATTTTTATTCATAAATATTGAGGCAATTATTTATAATAATAATAATAATCTTAATAATAATCAATATATATATAATATTGTTAATATAGTATAACTGCTTTATGCCAATCGCCCCAAAGTGGAAGCCTCGGGTCGTTATCCTCATCATTCTCTCTCTTTCTTTCTCTTTTCAAAAGTACATTTAGGAGGAGTGTTAGTCTGAAAGGAACGGGTATGTTATGTACGAAAAAAAGTTAAAAAATTAATGGCCACCACTTGTCATATAAGGGATAATACATGTGATCTAGTGTTGTGAAAGCTTATAAATTATATACAGTATACCTAAATAAGACAAGACATGAATTTTTTCAACAACTCGTTTCCTTTTAAGAAATAATGAAAATTAATGATTGAATTGTATCTAAACTGATAAATGATTGAATATTCTTTTGATCAGGACTTCCACACTCATCACAACAATACAAATATCTAAGATATCAACAGTATATGTCATATCATATAATAATTATGCTTATCGTAAATGTTAACAATTTTAACACTAATAAATGATAATTGTTTTATAAAGAGAGATACGACAGATATCGTCATTTATATGAATGTCCTAACAAAACGTTTGTCCGGATTTTTTTTCAAATACATCTAATTTATTGAATTATAGTTTTAAGTTAAAAACTTTTAACTTTACAAACACAATATCCGTGTATATTATAAATAATACTTAATTTTATAAATAGAATGTGACAGTTAATGTCAAAACTTATTTTTTATTTCATAAATTTTTTTAAATATTATAAATTGTAAGATCAATGGCATAAGAGAAGCCAACAAAAAATTAATGTAACATTTATTTATAATTATAATTTCATGTAATTATTAATTTATGGAAATATATATTAATTATAAAATTTTATATAATTAAACTTTAATGTAAATTAATAGTTGAATAATTGATGTATAAAAATGTTTAGACACCGGTATATTAACTTTTTACACACAAATGTTTGTCATTCATATAAATACCCCACAAATTTATCAGATGGATTATATTTTGCTTAAATGCAATGATAATTAATTTATTATTATTATATTCACAAATATTTTTGAAACAAGTTTTTTGATTTTACTCAAGAGTTTGCACTAATTATATTGTATTTACTTAAAGACTTGCATATATCATATAATTAAAAACCATTGTAACATCTAAACCACATACAAAAAAAATATTTAAGTGCAGTCATAAAAATTATTTGTTTAATCACATCATTACATATTAAATAATTGTATTTAATATAATTAAGATCTGTTTGAACACTACAATCCCAGTATATTTGCATATAATTTATAATTATTTCTAATATGTTCACGATTTTAATTATTTTTCAATATTTTTTTTTGTATCATTGTTTAGTCATATTATAATTATGATATTATTATTACAATTATTACTTGATATCAATAATTAAGTCACAATTTATTTTCAAAAATATCAAATAATTTTATACAATTAACATTAAACACATTGTTTGGTAAATTATTTTAAAAATATTTTAAAGCTATTGGATAAATATCTATAACATATCGTTATATAATTTGCGAACTGTTATTAAACTAGATTTATTAAATACTTAAAGATATTATTACAATATATCGACAAATATTCAAATATATTGTAATTAATTAATGCTGTGATTTACTGTAAGAATAATGAAACGTTTTTTCTCATTTGAAAAGCTTAAACACGTTTAAACTTGTAAATTATATTTATAATTATCATTAAAACTATATTATAAATAAAAAAAATTTCATTTTCATTGATTAAAAACAATAATTTAAATTTTATTAACTCATTAAAAATTAAGTTACGAATTGATAATTATTTTGTTAGTTCTAATATTGAGTGTTTTCAAAGTAGCGGTAAGTCGATAGCAGTCTATATATATGGTTTCGGGTGTATATATTGAAAAATAATATTTAAAAAAAATGTAACAAAAAGTATGTTAATTGTGATTATAGAGTAAAATATCTTAATCTTGATCCCAATCTCCTCCTTGTTTCGGTGGTTTCGGTCCTCCGGCGGGTTTGGCGCATATAATTTGATCGACTTGTAGTATAGTATTGGCCACATTTGTAGCGTATTTTATGCCCCAATGTTTAACTAATTGTAGATCATAAATGTTGGCGTTGACTGAGTCAATAGTAGCCGCGACATCGCTTTCGATATCGATGCCGGTATTACTTTTGCCATTTGCGTGGGCCGTCTGCAACAATGCGACCAATTCGGTTGATTTGATGCCCGCATTGTCAGCTAAAGCGACGGTAAGGCTCTGAAGTGAATCAGCAAATTTTCCGACAGAATACTGTTCGAGTCCGGGCAATGTTTCGGCAAATTGGCTTATCTGGTGAGCCAACTCCATTTCCACAGCTCCGGCACCAGCAACTAACCTCCCATCTCTTGTTAATGCTTTAAAAGTATTGATTCCGTCATCAATGCAGCGTTCAATGTCGTCCATTATATTATCAGTCGATCCTCTGATAACAATTGTAGCAATTCGTGACTCTTTCGACTTTTGCTCGAATACCACAACATTAGTTCCGCCAATTTCATCGATATAAACTTTATCACAAAATCCTAATTCCTCTTTATTGGGTGCCGTCAGCTTTGGTAAAGGTATTGCGTTCACAGTTTTAGCCACTCGTCTGATATCAAACTTCGAGTTCAGTCGAACGGCTAATAAATTATATTTATTGCAATAATGAAGAGCTAAGTCACCAAACTTTCCGCCAGAAACTACAACTTTAGCGCCAGACTCGGCAATGGCTTTAATCTGTGCCTCCAATAGATTCTCTTCACCTCTGGAAAAGTTCAACAATTCGTCGGCACTTTTAATAAGTACAGTTCCTTTAGTTTCAGTGGCCTGTGTGTCAACTGCACCCGTATAGATGGCTATTTTAGCATTTTCAGCTAATGATATATCACCCTCGACCTTAAATAATAATTTAAAAAATTAAATCAATAATATAATATTCAATATATCCTAATTTCAATCATAATTATACCAATTTTTTAAAGACCATTCCCTGAACCACTTCTGACTTTTCCACTCCTGCACCCAATATCTTACAAATTCTGATATTATCGACATTGAAAGCCACGTCATTAACACCAACCGAAATACACGCCTCGGCAATCAATTTGGTCAAAAAATCTTCACTACCGTATTGTTTGGACATTACCGACGATCGGATAGCTTTTGACACTTCGTTCAGATCCTTAAATTCTTTCACTTCATGAACAGTCAATTTCGGTAACAATTCATCCAACACTTTATTAGCGGCTATTTCGTAGCCATCAATAATTTCGGTCGGCTTTAGACCCATACGAATCAATTCTTCGGCGTTTTCCAGTAGAGCGCCGGCGAAAAGCACTATAAAATTAGTTCCGTCGCCAACCTATTCATCAATAGTTCGTGTCATTTAGGAAATAAAAACATGTCTTAATAATCACAAAACAAATAACTAAAATCTGGTCAACAATTATGGACAGACCTCGTGCTCCATCATCTGTGAGGCTTGTATTATCATTCTGGCCGTCGGGTGCTGGACCTCCATCTCACGGATAACAGTGGCCGCATCAGAGGTCACAAACAGTTTCTCTAAGTGATTGATAATCATTTTATTCAGTCCTTTAGGTCCGTAACCGGTCTTCAATGCGTTTGACAACTCAGTACAGGCCTCGATGTTGCGGATGACGGCCTCTTCAATGCCCGACAAGTATTTGGTGCCGTCTTTGAGCATCTGAAGAAAACCGGGAGCTTTTGGTACGGAAAGTGCCATCTTTTACAAAGTTTTCGGTAATCAGTGGACAATATCGGAGGACAAAGTTGTGGTCACAAAGTGTTTAACAAGTTTTTTGCGATACTTTTGTCGACAAATAAGGCGTGCATTCAATGCATTCAATCACACAATGTGTCCATCAGTTAACATACATAAAGTACGTCATTAACACTCATTTGTTTTCAAACATTATTTATGAATCATTTATTTGATTTGTTTCAGTGCTCGACGTTATTAACAAAGTTTTATATTGAAGCGCAACACAAGTATAATAATTATTTTAATAAAAATTAGTAAAAATGTATTTAATTATATTAATTAATTAATTAATTAGCATTACTTTAATAAGTAACTAACAAATAAAAATCTCATTTAATTTATTAATAGTAAACCGAAATACACTATAGTAAAGTTGGAAAAAAATTATATAATTTTTATTATAGATATATTAATATTTTATATTTAACTAAATATATTTAATTAAAATTTGTAAATTAAAGATAATCTATTTTAGTTAACATTTCTATTTATGTATTTAACATCTAATTAAAAAACTTGTAATAAATTGCATGAATTGATGCAATAATACACTTGTTATGGTGTTGTTGTTGTTGTGGTTTCAATATAAATAAAATTTTAATGTAAAGTGCGTGACATTGGAGTGTATGTGTTATTAGTAGAGTATATAACAGTGTATTAGAGTATTATATGATATGTGAGTAATGCATGGTTTCATACATTGAATAACAGTGTTGTAAACGTATTCACTGTTTGACAAACTATTGAACGACACTATCATTCAGTGATTATAACATTTCATTAATAGTTGTAAATATTTGTTTGAAAATATGTATTAAAAAAACATATTTGAAAAGTATTTGTTTTTTTTTAAAGATTATATGAAACTCTTATTAAATAATTAATTGAATTTGTCTTTTAATATATTAATAAATTTGTAAAACAATTGGTAAAAGCAATGCCAGTAAATCATATGCCAAACGGGTCGTTGTCTCACTGGCCCAGTAATGTAGGCATACTGGCCGTTGACATATACTTCCCCAACATGTTTGTCGATCAAACAGACCTCGAAAAGTTCAATGGTGTCAGTGATGGCAAATATACCATCGGTTTAGGACAAAATCAGATGGCTTTCTGTACGGATAGAGAAGACATTAACTCGATATGTCTGACTGTAACCAAATCATTGTTAGACAAGTATTCAATTTCACCGAAAGACATCGGGTTTCTAATGATTGGTACCGAAACCATAATCGATAAATCAAAGAGTGTCAAGACTGTACTCATGGATCTGTTTGCCGAAAGCGGAAACCAAGATATTGAGGGCATTCACGCCACTAATGCCTGTTATGGCGGAACTGATGCCCTGTTTCGGGCCTGGGATTGGATCGAGTCGTCCTCTTGGGACGGAAGATATGCCATTGTTGTGGCCGCAGATATTGCAGTCTATGCCAGTGGTCCGGCCAGACCTACAGGTATTTATCAAATTTATTACTAAATTTCTAACTATTTATTAACTAATGTGCTATAAATTTAGATTTTAATTTAATTATTTAATAATACATTTTATTTAAAAGTATTTTAATTGGAAATAACAGTAATTTAGGGATTTTTAGAAATAATAAAACAATGATTTAATTAAATTTTGAAATGTATTCATATTATAATCAAATGCATATATATTTGTGTAAATTTTTAGTAGTATTATATCTTATGACGATAGGCTCGTATAATACAGTATATTGTGAACCGGTATGGATACAGGAAATAAGCATATATAACATATTTGTATATTTAGAAACACATTTGAATCTTTATATATATATATATATATATAAGATATTGAATTTAAAATTTGTTTTAAAAAAAAGTTTGTCGATAAATTAGTGGCCAAAACTTTTTTTTATAAAAATAAAAAAAAATGTATTTTATAAATCATTTGTATCTATATTTAGACTTTGAATTAATTTACAACAAAATATATATACTATTAATAGACATATAATTATTTAGACAGGAAGATTTGATATTTATAATGATAAATTCAAGTATATATTGATAGTTAAATGTTATGTATTTATACTGTATATATTGTATATTTTATATATCATATAATTGAAAATTGCGTTAAAGTTGGCAATGCCAACGCTGCGACCCAATAGTTAACTATTAAGATTGTTGTATAGTATATATATATATATTGCTAGTTATTGGTTTTATATATAAATATAGTAAAAATATAAATATATATATTTTTAGTTTTTATGTTTTAAAAAATGTAAGGTTATTATTAATTATAAATATTTATTAAGTTATAAATTGAAGTAAATAAATAGATAGTACAGTTAAAATAATTGTTTGAGTTGAAGTCAAAAATAAACAACAACAACAAAAAAGTTAGCAATTTTTGGCAATTGTTTCATTTGAAAACTCAATATTAGATTAATGAGAGCGAAAGTAGATGAATATTCATTGTTTATAAAATGCTATTTTTATTGTTATTTGTAAAATATATGTAATTTTATATTTATAAATTATAATATAAATATTTAGTAATTTATAGACAGTTATGATAGTTAACTTATTATTCAAAGAATAATCATATATTATATTATTATAAATTTAGATTAAAAAGATTTATTAAATTATTCAAATGACAAATCATATTCAGTAATACTCTAACAGTATATTGACGTAAGTTATTAATTGGGTTTTTACAAATACAAGCCATAATAATAGTTACATTTATTATATATTTATACTATATTATAAAAATGATAATCTGTTAAAATAATTGGCACTTAAGTATTACCAGTATATTTGGGTTTACCTTCAAGTATTATTTGAATTTGATCTATCACATTTTATTAATTAAAAAATAGTTAATTAACTTTATATAATTAAAATTAGTTTTGTCGTATCCATATCATCAATAATAAATCAATATTAACAATTATTTTTTTTATTAATTTATCATTCAACTAATTAATTCAAAGCATTACATTAAAAATATTATATTAAGTTATTTATTTAATATATTAGATATATTTGATAGATATTTATTATAGTTATTATATGAAATTTTTACAATTTAATTTTTAAATCATATTTCAAAAAGTCCACAATTAGTATTTAATAACAAATACATTTGTATACAATGGGTTAAACCCTAAAGTGAAATAGTTAATAACAAAAATATTGCTTTTATTGATAATAATACAGTATTATCTAAATTTAATTAAGGTAAAAAACTTATTTTTTACTATTTAGTAAAGTGTTTATTATGCAAATAGTAAAAAAATAAAACAAAAACTATTACAATTAGCGTATTTTTGATTGCATTAAATACAACAAATATAATAAATATTACAAAACTTAAAACCCAAACATAATATACAGTATATATACATTCATTTGACATTTATGTGACTATTTGTGATAAATGTTTGCAAAAACTTGATTTTGTAAACTCTTGTGATGAGTCAATAGACCCGCAGGACATTCGGTCGATTGAACTTTGTATTGGATAATAGATTTATACCGAAAACTTGATTCATTAAGTTTACCCAAAAAAATAAATAAATATTTTTATGAGTTATAAACTGATGGATACACCTGAGCTATGTTAATAAAGACCTGGCTTCAATTTGAACTTGAAATTGTTTTTACATACTATACATTTGCATTTAATTTATAAAAAACATAATTGTGACACACAATTGTCACTATTTTTATATTGCTATTAAGTGTTAGTATCAGGAAAATATGAAATTATTTTATTTAATTATATATATATATATTTTTAACAAAATGAAAATAAATTTGATACTTAAATGGCATACCGTTTAGGGAAAATAGCCGCTCAAACATAACACTCATAAATGCATGTGTTTGGGCAATAATAAGTGATGTCTAAATAATTAAAGTTTATTTTTGTTGTTTTACGTACATATCATTAAAATAAATTTCCAATAACGATGACTATGATTTGTCTTTTATTGTTTTAAAAAATGAAATAAAAGAATAGTTTATATATTTATATAATTGAATAAAATATTGTTTGTAACTTTTCATATATATATATATATATATATATATACTTTATATGAGATTGTAATGATATGTTTAAATACAATAATAAAATTACAATTACTACAGTACTATATTTTTTTAATTATTAAAATTTACTAAAATGTTTATAATTTGACATTATTTTTATAAAATTCTTAATAATAATAAGATTAAACTTTTTATTAGTTTTATTTTATGTTTTATTTTATTTGACAATTAAATAATAGTAATCATCTCATTTTACTTTATGAATTAGATGACTAAACAATATATTATAATAAATTTAAATCGCTATTCATTTTAGAGTTATATTTTATTATATCAAAGTAGAGAAATTGAAAGTACATTACATTACATGACAAATTAACCTTGATCACCTTGAACATGTTTCTACATAATTTAATTTCTACTTTTAAATATATTTTTTGATTGTTTGTCAAATTTATAATATTTGATTATTGATGTTTTAATGACTACACAACAACTTATATTCAATAACTAAAGTACATATAATTATTTAAATTATAGCTTTAGATTGAATTTTGTTAGTATTTATCAATTTGTTTGTAAATAATATATTAATAATAAAATAAAATTTGCATTAAAATTTAAATACACTATTTTTTATTATACATAAATATAATAAATAATTAAGACTATAGCCAAACACAATATGAAATAATGATAATTATAAATATCTGGTTTACAGGTGGATGTGGAGCTATTGCAATGCTTATCGGTCCCGACGCTGCCGTTGTATTTGACCGTAAGGTTAGGTCAACATATATGGCACACGTATACGACTTTTATAAGCCAGATCTAAGTTCAGAGTACCCAACAGTGGACGGCCCGCTATCTAATATGTGTTACCTCCAGGCACTGGACAAGTGTTTTCAGCTATATTTTGAAAAAGCCAACAAATATTTACAAGGAACTACACTCGACAGCTTTGATGCCATCATATTTCACGCGCCTTACTGTAAACTCGTGCAAAAGTCAATCGCACGACTTGTTTTGCTTAATTATCTGCAAAGTTCAGAAAATCAGTGCAACGATACCTACAATCAGTTGGAACGTTATAAGTAAAACTGTAAACAATATAATAGATAAAAATATGTATTAATTTTAAATTTTTTTTATTGAAAAGAAATATCAAACTCGAGGACACTTACAGCGATCGCGAACTCGAGAAGCTATTGTTAACCTTAAGTAAGCCAACCTTCCAGAAGAAGACTGATCCGAGTCTAATGTTGCCGCGAACTATCGGAAACATGTATACGGCATCACTCTATGCCTGTTTGACTTCATTTTTATTAAGGTATTCATCAATACCTTAATTTCTCTATGTTTTCTTCTATAAAACAATTTGTTTATTTAATAGTGAATCATTGGACAGTTTGAAGAACAAAAAGCTGCTTTTATTCTCCTACGGGTCAGGTTTGGCCGCTTCCATGTTTTCCGCTCGAATCTCATCGGACACATCACCGAACTCAGCGCTGGCAAAGATGCTTAAAGTGGTGTCCGATATACCGGACCGATTAAAAAGCCGCCACAGAGTGTCAGCAAAAGTATTTGAAGAGGCACTGAATCTTCGGGAAAAGACACACAACAGTGCGCCATATCAACCAATTGGACAAACAGACAACTTGAGCACCGGTACCTTTTTCTTGACATCAGTCAGTGATAAATACCACAGAACTTATAAGCGAATCTCTAGTGAAGAGAAATAAGTATTTAATCAGTTAATGACATTTTTTTGACTAAATATGTATTAAATAATTGTTTTTAATTCAAATTTTTAATAAGAATTTAACAAAGATAGTGATATTTTAAATTTTTAAAAAATTTTATATAAGATATACAGTAATGTATTATTTTTAATCATATTTTTTATATATTAAGGTTATAATCATGTTATTAAGTTTATTGATAGTTGAAAGCAATAAAATCTATTTACTGTTGTTTTTAAAATCATTAAATAATTTTATTTTTTATTACCGGTAATTTTTTTTGGTTTTTAAGAGTTTTATATTATGTGTCCATATTTATAGATTATTATTTATAATAATTATTATAGAATCATATTATAACACTTAATAGAATGAATTGACAATGTATCATGTTTTTAATTTTATAAAAAATAAATAAATATATTTTTAAAGTTATTAATAATTTGTCGCAATTATTATGCGATTATTCATTAATATATTTACGGTAATTGTAATTTTAAACTAAACTATATTTATTTAAAGGACATTTAAATGAAAACAAGTTATTTAACTTTTATACATCTGTATACCAATCAATAATAAAATCATAATTTTATTTATTATTGTCTACTTATTTTGTTAGACTTTCCTTGTATTTTTCTAATAATAAATTTTTCAATTATTTAAAATTTCCATTTATTTTACACTTTTATTTGCAATGATAATCATTGATTATTAAAATATTTACATTGAATATACATATAAACAAATAAATATATTAAAATATATTAAAAATAATTAATATTTAATGTCAATAAAAAATAGAAAAATTATATTTAAATGTAATTTGTAACTTAACAGCCATTTTAACTTTTTTTAAAAATTAAAAACTATAAATTATAAATTTTTAACTTAGAAAGTATAGTTATTCATATTAGAAATTGAATTTAAAAAATTATAAACCGATTGTTGTATACAAGGAGATTGTGCTAAATTAGATGCACATATCAATACGGGTAAACAGACACCGATATCTGGGATCCATGTGTTCAACATTACAAATAAGCCACCCGTGCATCTCATAACTGCTGTAATACATGAAAATAAATTCATATAACCCAAACAATTTATTAGACACATTGAATTTGATTTGACATAATGTAATGCATTCTTTAAGATATCTAAATAGTATCTAAAAAAACTAATATACAATACATTAAATAAATTAAATAACAAATATAACTAAAAAAAATTTTTTTTATCATAATTACTCTGAAAATAAATTGTCACTTATATCATGTATATTAAGTGTCGTACAAAACCATTGTTTAAGATCTTCTGTGTGGTTAACCATTTGATCGACATTTTTGAAGATATCATAGTTAAACAAACGAGGAATTGTTAATTGGTTAAGATATTCATAAATCGTTGGTATTGTCTTCAGTGAACCGACTGATTTGGGGTATAGTTTTGGTGCTGTAGGTAATGACACAATATTATTGATTTAGTAATTGTTAATTAAATGAATACATTATTAATTTAATTACCATTTATATTGTTATGATTAAAAATAATGGATGAATTTGTGGTGATATTGGAAATTAGCCAAAATGATACTAAAATAACTACAAACATTACAATATATTTATTTATTTTTAACGAATATTAAATAACACATTTATTCACAATTTAACAATACTGTAGTAATAATTTTGTCTGCTTTTAAAATTAATTATTATAAGTAAATGAAGTATTTATTGACAAAACATATGGGTTGACAATGTTTATTGATAAAAAATTATGTATTTTTTTGAATGTTTAACAAATTTATTTTAAATCAAATATAATGACAATTAAATATGTTTATTAAAATCAACGATTGATTGTCATAATTGTATTTTTGCTGATTATAATTATTTTAATTTAGTTATAACAGAAATTCTATTATATGAATATAAAATTCAGAGTAATTGTGTGCATATAATATTTATTTTTAATGTTTCTAATAATTAATTAATTTTTAAATATTATATACAATTAGTAGATATAAGTTAAGCAAAAATTATTATTGTGTCCAGTCTTGAAGTGCCAAATATTTGTCATATAATGTAATGGTATGTATGGACAGTAAATAACAGAATTCAAAACTAAAAATGTTTTAATATATTTATGCAGTCTTTTTAAAGGCTAGAGTTCGGGCAACTTTCTAAAGGAAGAAAGTTTCCAAATAAAATTCATCCAATTTTATCAATTGATAATAAAATTAATCTTTATTTCTTAGTTTTGTTAAAAGATAATATACTAGATAATAAATACAAAATAATTTATAATAATATACCAATAAAATTGTTAAAAATTTAGTTAATAAGCAATAAAATTTAATTGAAATATTGCAAAATGAATGGGCATTTAATAATTTATTGATTAATATAAATTAACACAAAATACATGCATTTTAAGACACGCTATTGAAATGTGTGGGTAAGGATTCAATAGAGGTTAACACATGAAAATAAAGTTCCTCTGTATTCCCAAGTAACAGGAATTTTTAGTAAAATAAAATTAGGGGAAATCTCTCCCTAATCTAATATAAACGATCGACTAATTTTGTTATATGAAGTCCAAAAGGAAGTGTTGGAGAGACAAACCATTATCATTGCCATCAATGACAACACTGTCGACTACAAGAACAATAAGTGTAAAATATTTTAATTAAAAGTTATCAAACAAATCGATCCAATTATATCACAACTACTTATAAATGTAATTATTGTACAAAACATTTCATCTTTAGATTTAAAATTTATTTACAATTTAGATACAAATCAAGTCAATTGATAGCAATTTATACAATAGTGATAAAATCATTTATTTGTTAAAACAAATTATATTTTATTTAATAGTTTTGAGAGTAATATAAATTAGTTAATGTTTGCATCAAAGGTAATTCAGAAACAGTTACTCTAGTGATGGGATGACTATCCAATGATTGGTTTGGCTGTAGTCGTGGCTTAACTTCAACACCGATTGCTGTCTATATTATCTACGGTCATAATAATGTTTACAATAGCATCTCTGAGTTGGGGTACTATAGTTATGTTGGGTCTACCACTGGGAAGGGCAACACTAATTGCCTTTTGCTTTGTGGCCACCGGTTTGTTTGCAACCAATTTTATGAAATCCAGACTTTAATTGATCGAAATGATTACCACTGAATATACAGTATTGACGGAAACATTAATAACAATATGCCTCATAAGTATAGGCCTAATAACTCTTTATCCCGTTTTGATGAGTTTGCCAACCCTTAGTATAGCACCGGTACGCGCTCTTATAACTAAAAATATTAAATATAATTTTGTTACTACTTGGCTAATATTATTGTTTATAATATTAATTTATTGACTTTTAGCACATTAATCACATTGATTATTATATATTTGTATCATAATGTTTGGACTAATGCAATGATTTAGTGTTATTACATTTTGGCTAATTTTGGAAACAGTCGTCTCAATAGTTACTTATTGATACATAAGGAGATTAACTGTTCAACAAGTTTGCTATTATATTATATTTATACACATTATATTTATGTTACACAATTTAAGAGATTTTTAAATATAACTTTTAAAAAATAAGACACACGTATTTAATTAATTATTATAAAAATATAATTTAATACTTAACTTTATAATTAGGCTAATTAATATTGTTATGATATTTAGAATATATTAATTTTATATATAATTAAAAGTAATTATAAATTTATAATATAATATAAGTCAAAAAGATTTTCATATTTATATAATTTGTATTATAAAAGAGTTAATTTTATCAAAAAAATATTTTATAAAAAATTTCAAAATCTACAGACACAACACAATAGTAAAGTGAGAGCACAGTTATGTCGAGTTGAGTATTAGCTGGGCTTCAATACTGTCGTCAATTTATAATCATTGAACTGTTATTAATAAACTACAGATTCAGTTCATGTAACAGAAGATTTAAATTTTGAATTTAAATTTAATATCAAATTTCAAACAAAAATTTCGATTTTTATAAAACATGAACTGATAGCCCAAAGGAAAGTATGTTTGTTATGCAATACATAATATACAAAATATGAGCCAAACGGGCAAACAATTGGAAAAAAAATTAGGACAAGAGGTACACATATGGAGAAGGAGTTTAAATATCATATAATATCACACAATATGTATAGATTTTAGATGTATTTTACATAATTCTACCCAAAAAATAGTTATCCAACACTTGATTTGCAAATTGATTGACAATTGTTTGTGTTTTTTGTTGTTAGCCTTTGGGGACAAATATGTAAACTGATTCTCTAATACATATTTGTGCACTTTGTATATCCCGCTGGGCCTAATTGAGTATCCCTTTTGAACCTTGTTTTACTTGAAACTATTATATATAAATATTTTAGTATTATACTCTACCAAAATATATTTTTGCATAACTTTTTGTATAAAAATTTTTTACTTTATTTTTTTATAAAAATTTAGATGACAATCAATCAATTATATGTCAAAAATATTTAAAATTTTTCTACAGATTATGAATATTTATATCACTTTATTGTATTGTATAATTTTATAAAAAAAATAGAGTATAGTGATAATCATAATAAAAAACGACCAAAAAACTAGATTATACAGTAAAAGTGGTATTTTTTAAATATTTTGATGAATTGAAATTAGGATTTTTTTTAATGACAAATTCAATATTAGTAATATTACGATATAATATATATATTTGTAAATTAAATATTGGATAAATATATATATATATTTGTTTACAATTTTTTCAAATTACGTTAGACTCAAGACTAGACGTTCAGCTTTTAGTGTAAATTAAGTTATTTTATATACAGTATATATAAAAATTACTTATTATTACACTAACTTAAAATTGGTAAATATATATATTATAATATTTGTACCATAATCATTTGTAGTTTTGTATATGTTATATATATATATATATATATATATATTTTAAAACATTAATGGCTTTTAGAAAAAAATGTTTTTGTATTATAAGCCCTCACTCCTCAATAGTGTGTGTAATATAAAAAGCGTGTGCCTATCATATGCCTCCCTGTGTCCCATGTTATGCATTATGCTAATGGTTTGCTTAAAATATATACATATTGTACGCATTTATGGGTACAGACTATATATCAAATTTGTGAGCTTTTCTCCGGCACTTTTAGCAAACAGTGCGATCCATGTGATGGCAAGTATTGATATACTGTATTGAATTGCCATTGTATTTGATTCATCCATCCATTTGGACAGTGAATTAAGTGTTAAAAACTATATTTAAATATACAAAAAACGAAATAACACTTTATATTTTCAAATCACTATTTATTGACTAAAAAAGTCGACAATTTTACTCTCATATTGCTATTAAAATTAAAGCACTTTTGTTGACAATAACACAAAAACTTTTAATATACTTTGCCTCAAATGATTTGAACTGCAATTCACTTATTTTTTTACACATTTATATTATTATAAATATTGGGTTTCCAAATATATATTTATATATTATAAATACATACCATTGTAATGACATTAATAAAGAGACCATTAATTGAATGCATTAAACTGTAGAGACATTTATAATGTTGTGTTTATTGGATGTTAAGTAAAGTATTCTCTATTTGACTGATTGTAGTGTTTAACTGTTAAATACAATACAAAACTGTATTAACAAAATCTGAAAAATCAAAACTACAAAAGCATTATGTAATTCTCTCTCTCTCTTTCTTTCTTTCTTTCTCTCTCTCTCTCTCTCTCTCTCTCTCTCTCTCACACACACACATTGGGTCTCACTTTCAATTTATGAATGTCTGTGGCCGGTTAGTGACAGCCGTATATAATTCACGGCATACCATATATAATATATGTGCAAAAATATGATTTTTATAATATAATATTTAATATTATTGGTAAGGATAGAGAATCAAAGTCGCGGAAAATTACATTTAATTCATGTGCTAATCAATGATATGATCTGCACCTGACGTTAATTCTATACATTTATAGATATATATAAAATTTATACAACAAATTTTTATATACACTACACCAACGATCATAATATTTTGTACACTATTTAAAACTTATTGTATTTTTTATTATTATATTCTTTTATACAATACTTTATTGTTGAGTCAAAGATATTAAAACTCATTTTGACATCAAATTAATGACAATATTTTAACTTTTATCACTTTCTATAAATTAACGTTTTGTTTAACAATTTAATAAAACTTATCTTTTAATACTGTACTACATTGTTATAATTTATTTATTTATACAAATATATTATAATTAGTATTATATTGTAATTTAACAAAAAATATGCATATACTGTATATTAATATTGAAGTTAAATAAATATTAATATTCTTATTATTTATTTAGTGTTTGTTTTAAAAAAATATATTTCCAATATTTAATATAAATAAACACATTTTAAGCAATTAGTTTGAAGTATTGCTTTTTAAAATTATAAAAAAGTAATTACAAATAATTTATTTCGTTATATTTTCTAAAGTGTTGAGTCCTTATACAATTGAATAGCTTTTCAATTAATTTAAATGTTATTATTATTAGTATTATTGTATAATTGTATATACTGTATAAAT